CATCTGGGGTCCCATTTTTTGTAGTTGCCAGTCTCACTCTTGGCTCTGACTGGGGCTGACTCTTAATAGGGCCGCCATCAAATGCCAGTGAGGCTCCCCCTATTCATTCATTCCTTAAGCAAATATTGCCTGCTTTGACCCCAGGGATCCACAGCTTTCCTATGGTAGATGAGAAGTCCCCTAGTTATTCATACTGAAGTGTGAGGGGCTACTTTCTTAACTATTTTAAAGGAGGACATGAACCTAGCAATTTACTCTTTATAAGTTCCATTCGTGCCTAGTATCTCTTTAATACTTCATGAAACCTTATACAACCCGTAGTGAGCTCAATGCTCATACAGGCTGGGTGGCCTCAGGCAAGTTGCTTGACCTCTCTGAGCCTCAAGTTCTTGATGAGTTTTATAGGGATAATAATAATGTCAAGGAGTTATTGTGAGGTTTAAATTATATCCCATGTGAAAGAAACCAACGCAATATGTATCATCAATGTCACCATCCTCATTATTACGAGGAAGGCATACCCCAGGTAAGGGGGTTGAGGTGGAGATGGGGGCTATGAAAGCAAAAAGACAGAGGAAGGTAGACTAATACTGATAACAATACTGAGAATGATACCAACAACTTCCACCAGCTTTTCCTGAGAGCTTACCAAGTACCTTGTATACGTTCTGGGCACAGGCATGTGTAATATGTCATTTAACTTTTCACAGACAAAGAGGTGGGTATCGTGTTTCCCCCGGTAACAGATGAGGAAACTGAGGTGACAAGCTGGTAAGCCCAGGATGCAAATCCAGGGCTGTGATGGCCTCTGCCTCAGAGGGTGGTACCGACTCAGAGCTGTCAGGGTCAGACAGCTGCCCCTGCATGGTGGGTACAGCTTTAGGGGTACAACCTCCCTACATCCAGTGCCTTCTAGGGTCTCAGGGGCTCAGGGTGAAGACACTTCTGTTTGGAAGATGGTGACCAGGCCCAACCTCCATCCTACGCCTCAGCAAAACCTCAGAATCCACAGAGATTGACTTCAGGACCCTCTCTCTAAATTGTCCTCATCCCTATGTCTTTCTAATGCCCATTCCCTAGGACTGACCATGAAACCACTTCCTGGATAGTATCCCTGTTCCCACAGCAGCACTTAGCATTTCCACAGTGCCTTTACTAAAGCCCTGGTGAATGCCGGGACCTAAACGCCCCCCAAACTAATTCATACTAGGCTGTGAATGACTATCACAGCTAACTGCCGATTTTCCCACCTATATTCCTCAGGTCACTCATGATGCAAGATGCTCCGCCAAAAAAATAAAAGATAATAATAGTTGTGTGGTCAAATAAGTTTGGGAAACTCTGAATACTCTATTCTCCCTTCCAGAGAGTCATAATACACATTAAACTCTTGCAAGCTGTGAGAACTCCTGCAGTGTCGACACCAATGGTACCCAAAGCTATAGGACATAATATTTTTTCAAGGAACAAAGTAACAATATCCCCAAACGGCCATTGATAAATCCTAACCGAGGAACCCTGGAGTGTGGGGATAACATCAGTGTCCCTCCAACTAGAATGTAAATCCTTCAAGGGAAGGGATTTGTATCTGATTTGTTCCCTTTTAGATCCTCAGTGCCTGTAATAGTGTTTGGTACATAGTAGGCGTTTGATAAAAGTTTGTTGAATGAATAAATGAATGAATGAATGGAGGTGAGTTGGAGAATGTCAGGAGGTCTGTGTTCTAATCCCGACTTTGCCTCTAACTCACTGTATGTCCTTGGGCAAGTCCCCATCCCTCCCTGTTTTCCACTTCCCTACATGTAAGAAACGGATGAGGCTACATTACACATTTACAGTGGGGGCAATAGTGCCCCCAAAGAGGTGAAAATTGGTTCTTGAGGAGCAAACAAACCAAAGAAACCCCCTAAACTTTATTCTTTTTATGTATAAAGCACAGATATACATACTGGACATACACAGATACACATTATATCTGTGGTATTAAGATTCCACGGAGGAGAGGGGTGGCAGTTTGGAAAACAATGTCTAAAAAGACTCCGGAGGGTGGCAATAATGAAAAAAAGCTTGAGAAACACTAGGCTTGATCTAGAAGGTTCCTTCTAGGTCTGACAGTCTGTGAATCCCTGATTCTAAGTGAAAGGATTGGTGGGAAATGTCTGAGCGAACAGGAAACAGCAAGAATCAAAAACCTCAGGCAGGAATAAACCTGGTGTTATGGACTGAAGTGTTTCCTCCCAAAATTCACAAGTTGAAGTCCAACCCCCAATACCTCAGAATATAAGGGTATTTGGAGAAAAGGTCTTTTAAGAGGTAGTTAAGTTAGACTTTTAGGGTGGGGCCCTAATCCAAGAGGACTGGGGTCCTTATGAGAAGAGAAAGAAGCACCAGGGGTTGACGCACAGAGGCAAGGTCACGGGAGGACACAGGGAGAAGGTGGCCGTCTGCAAGCCAAGGAGAGAGCTCTTACCAGAAACCAACCCTGATGGCACGTTGATCTTGAACTTCTAGCCTCCAGAACTGTGAGAGAGTAAATTTCTGTTGTTGAAGCTCTGTGCTATTTGGTCTTGGCAAACATAGCGAACAAATACACCTTGGATGTTTAAGGAAGCATCGCTATAGGGACATGAGGTCAGAGAGATCACAGGGGAGGCAAATGATGGCCAGCCTTGTAGGACTAGGAAATGTTTTGTTTCGTTCTTGGAGTGGAATGGGCAGAGTGAGAGGGTTTTGAGCAGGGGAGTGAAGATCTGCCCTACATTTTTAACAGGACCACTCTGGCTGCTGGGCGGAGAACAGGTTGTTCAAAGGCAAAGGTGGGACCAGGGAGACTGAGGAGAGAGGGGAGGATGGCTTGGACCAGGGTGGGAACAATAGGGATGGTGATAAGGGACTGGGTTCTGTTACATTTTGAAGGTGCAGACATCAGTATTTGCCAGTGGATCGGATTGTGGGTGTGAGAGTTTTTGGATTATTCCAAAGGTTTGGCCCAGACAGCTGGGAAAGTGTAGCTTGGTTTTGGATGGGTTCTGTTTGAGCTGTGCATTAGACATCCACTCGGAGGCGCCAAGGAGGTAGCTGATATTCAGGGATGGAGTTCAGAGGAGAGGTCTGAGTAGAGACAAGCTCCAAGGAAGACCTGCCTCCCCATCCCTCTCCCATCATCCGGCCCAGGCCCATTCTTATCTACCCTTCACACCTGTGCTTCCCCATCACAGCACGTATCGCAGGATACTACAGTCCACTGTAGACTTGTCTGTCTTCCCCATCCAGCTGGATGAGAGAAAGGACTTTGTGTAGCTTGTTTACCATTCCCCAGGGCCTGGTGCACAGTAGGTCCCAAGCAAACGATTGTTTGAATGAATGGGATGCCACAAAGAGGGGTTAAAAATTACCGAAGTGCAAATGTTCCCAAACACTCCCCTCCCCTTCCTGAGCCAGAGAATGTTATATTTTCCAGCAGGCTGTTCAGAACCCCACCCCTTCCTGATTCTGTCAGACTTACTTATGACAGAGGAAGATTGTCTAGAAGAATAGCCAAGTGGCTTATGATCGTTAAGACAATCTATACGTACAGAACCAGGAGAGAGAGTAAGCAAGGGTGGGGGTGGGGAACGTATGTGTAGATCTTGCCACTCAGGCTGCAAATGGAATAGGGGTTTATTTCTTTGTTTTAAAAACTTTTCAGGTGGAAGATGTTAAATGAGACTCCAGGGTAGTATGTGTGAGAAAGAACTGGGGAGAGAGAAAAGGAATGTGAGAAGCTTTAGGGGAGAGAACTGGCTCCCTCCATGCGTGGCTTTAAGAAACACAAGCTTGGGACAATTTATCGGGAAGACAGCAATCACAAATATATGTGCACCTAATAACAGAGCATCAAGATTCTTGAAGAAAAAAAAACAAATCAGGAAGCAAAATTGGACAAAACTAAAGGGAGAGGCGGATAGAGCCAAATCATAGTGGGAGTTACTAACAGCCCTCTCTGAGGGATTGATGAAAAACTGATTTTTTAAAAAATTTGGCAAAAGGATATAGAAAAATTTAACCAACATTGTGAACCAGCTCAACCTAATCAACATTTGTAGAACACGATATAGTAAGCCCCCTACATACGAACGAGTTCCGTTCCGAGAGTGTGTTTGTAAGTCCAACAAAGTTAGCCTAGGTACCCAACGAATACAGTCAGCTATATACTGCCGCTTTTACACTTGCTTCTGGACATCCTGGGCTTAAAATAAAGATACTGCACTACTATACTCTATACAGTCCTGTACAGTAAAGTACACAGAAACACAACCACTTGTCGAGGATGCACGCATGTGACAACGTACGCCAGACACACGAACTAACTGACGTGACTCGACATATGAACGCACGTTCGCATCTTTGAAAGTTTGCAACTTGAAGGTTTGTATGTAGAGGACTTACTGTAGCTAACAACTGCAGGATTTAAACAGTATTCAAGTCTATCAAGAATAGACCATAAGCTGGGCCATAAAATAAGTTTCCGTTCATCAGAATATTGAAATCTTGAGTATGTTCTCTGACCACAATGGACTTGAATAACAAATCAATGACAGTAAACTATCTAGAAAATCCCAATAAAATATCTAGAAAATAAATATTTATATACCACACCTTTAACCCATGGGTCAAAGAAAAAAATCAAGGGAGACTAGAAAATATCAAACTGAATGATAATGGAAGCACATCAAATCAAAATTTCTGGGAAGCAGCTAATGTAGTACTTGCAGGGAAATTTATAGCTCTCAACGACCATACTGGGGGGAAAGAAAAGAGGGGCCAAAATTAATGACCCAAGAGTCTACCTTTAAAAGCTGGAAAAAAGAAGAATAAAGGAAACCCAAAGTAAATAGAAGAAAGGAAACGTTAAGGATGAGAGCAAAGCTCAGTAAAATAAAACACAAATGATAGAGAAGAATCAACAAAGCTAAAAGTTGGTTCTTTGAAGGGATTAATAAAATTGAAAACCACAGGCTAACCCTAGACTTTTTTTTTTTTAATTACTTTTAGTTTTTCGTGCTGACTGTGCATGGACTTGCCCACATGGGTGCTGGGGTCGTACGGGTTACAGGGGGAGGCAGAGGAGAGAGCATGTAACAGCCTCCAAAGCTCCTCTGTTCCAGACAAGCACATGTTCACTGCTCAGCGCTGGACCCCCTGCTCACTGCTGGATCCTTCGGATGCTCTGCACCTGGAAGGTCTGGGCATGAGAGCCCCACTCCCGGAAATGCTTGTAGTCGCCTGAGTGGTGATCACACTCCAGCACATACTGAAAACCTCGGTAGCCAGGAAACTGGGAGCCAACCCAGCTGGAAAAGGGAAGAGGCAGACTGTTACCCTGAAGAGGCACCAGCATAGTGATTAAGACAGGGACAAGGGGACCCCATGCTGCAAACACACTCCAGCCATCCTGGACTTCCTTCCCTGGCATTCCTGCCCAGAATGTGCCCTGCTCTCCCCACCACTGGGTCCTTTTGATCACGCTGTTCCCTCTGCCAGTAACACCATCCCAACCCTTCTTTGCCTGGTTAAGTTGGATTTATCCTTCAGGTCTCAGCTCAGTCATCACTTCATCAGGGCGGTCTGACAGTCCCCTGTTGAACCTTTGTAGCGCTCATGTAATTAGGTAATTAACAGATGATCTGTAAAAATGTCAGGCTCCTCTGCCAACAGGAAGCTCCTGGGTGTAGGGGGGTGTGTGCTGGTTCATCATTATCTAGTGCCTAACATGACACCCAGCACAGAGGAGCTCAATAAATATTTGATGAAGAAAGGGAGGGAGGGAGGAAGGAAGGAAGGAAAGGACAGAGGGATGGATGGAGGGAGAAAGAAGTGGGGAGTCTTATTTTTTCCCCCTCCTGCCTTATTCAGGGGTACCTCCAAGGAAAAGGCTATTCTTTCAATTCATCGACCCCTGCATTGTTCAGGACTAGATAAGGATTGGTGTCTCCTTTTCTGAGCTTCCCTTTCCCTTTCTGTAAGAGGGAAGTGGACTCAAGAATCACAAGAGGTCCATCCTACTCTGAAACAAGATCCTCTGGTGCTTCCCGAGAAAACTAAAAAAATAAAGTAACCCTACCTCCCATCTTTGTCCCTGCCAGCCAGGAGCCAAGGGGTACCTCAGAAGGTGACTCTCATATCCTATATAACTGAGGATCTCACACCTCAGCCATCCCCTGGGTGAAAAGGGTGGGAAGGGTCAGTGAGTCCTGGGCTTGAAGCTGGATTCAGTTACCTACCTGCTGTTGGATGTGGAGCAAGTTGCTTAACCCACACCTGTTTGTTTACTCCTGGGCATCCATCCTCTCCTCTTCTGGTGACAGACCCTGTCACATCCACCTGCCTCAGTCAATGTGGGAAAATCCTCACTCTAGCAATGAGCACGTGACCAGGTCTAGCCAACCAGAGCACCCCATTCCTGTGGGCATGGTGATTGGTTTAGAGTTGAACCTGTGACCCAAGCTGGACCAATGAGAGCCTTTCCTGGAACTTTTCGTGGAATCACTGAGAAAAAGACACTCCCTTTCCCTGGGACTGGCTGGAATATAAGGATGAAGCTGCCATCTTATCTTCACAGGAGAAGAGCTTGCCTAAGAATATAGCCACACTGAGGCAGGCAGAGCAAGAGGGGGAGAAAGACAGATCCCTACTGTCGCAGCTGGATCCAGCTGTGCCTGAAGCTAGTTACAGGGGCCAATAAATAACCTTTGAGCTCAATATCAGTGTGATCTGGGTGTCCACTACTTTCAATCCAGAAATTTTGCCTGATAGCTCCCTGTGCCTCAGTATCCTCCTCTGGAATGTGGGCATCAGATCCCCAAAGTCCCCAGCATACTGTTTTCACAGGAGGTGTCCCCATCCCTCTCAACATCCTCTCTGTCCCTGCCAAGCAGAGCCTTGCATCCACTTACGCCCCCGAGTTGACATGGAAGGAGCCCACTTCATTGCCATCCCAGCCCATGGCCTGGAGGGAGGGGTAGTCATCGCTCAGCTCTCCTTTCTTGCCCAGGAAGTTCTCTTGCTCAAAGATGGTCAGCCTCGAGTCGCGGTGGTTCTGCAGGTACAGGGAAGAGAGTCAGAGTATCAGGTCCTCAGTCGGAAACCCAGGAGCCTCTGCTGGCCCCTACACCCCTGTTCTTGTCTCCAAAATCAGCCTTCCTTGAAACTTTCTGGAAGGGCAGTAAGGCAACAGGCACTGGAAACCTTACAAGAGGTGTACTGCTTGTCCTTCCAGAAATTCCTGTTTCAGAAATTTACACAAAGAAGATAATCAAGGAGAAAAGAAGCGTTGTTGATAACAGGAGGGGGCGGAGGAGGGAAGGGAAGGGGGAAGAGAAGAGGAAAAACAACCTGAATACCCGATAACAGAGGATCAGGTACACTGGGATATTGCACTACGGTTAAGAGAAGGGTGTGGAGAGCTGGGTTCAAATCCTGACTCTCCACTTAGCAGCTGACTAAGCTTAATCGTCTAAAGAAAAAAAGTATGGGGACTTCCCTGGTGGTGCAGTGGTTAAGAATCCTCCTGCCAATTCAGGGGACACGGGTTCGAGCCCTGGTCCGGGAGGATCCCACATGCCGCGGAGCAACTAAGCACGTGCGCCACAACTACTGAGCCTGCAATCTAGAGCCCGCGACCCACAACTACTGAGCCCGCGTGCCACAACTACTGAAGCCCGCGCGCCTAGAGCCCGTGCTCTGCAACAAGAGAAGCCACCACAATGAGAAGCCCGCGCACCGCAACGAAGAGCAGCCCCCGTTCGCCGCAACTAGAGAAAGCCCGCGCGCAGCGACAAAGACGCAACGCGGCCAAAAATAAATAAATTTATTTTTAAAAAAAACAAAAACACGTCACACAGCATTTCTGAGCCTGTTTCCACATCTCTAAAATGAAACTAACCACATCTGCTTTTCAGGATTGTTTTGAGAACGAAATGAAACGAGAAGTCGTAAACTGGGTAAAGGTAGGGATTGCATCTGTGAGAGTCCTTCCGAGTCCCCGCATTGGCGCAACACCTGGGCCGTTTGTGAAACAAATGAACATTCACCAAATGATATACTAGGGCGCTATGGAAAATGATGCCACAGGTGAGATTTAATCATCTGGGAGAGTGATTGTGATATACTTGCAGAGGGAGAAAAGCTGGTTTCCAAACTTTAGGTTCGTTATGATTCAACTTTTATAACCGAGTGTTACGCATGTATAGATATATAGATCTAGATGGATATACAGATCTAGACATAGATACTGATATCAACACTGCAGATATAATCTGTGGGTGGCATATAAGACCAAGGAAATCTCCAGCACTGACAACAGTGAGCTTTTGTCTCAGAGGTGTGGGTATAAGTGACTTTTATTTTCTTATTCGGCCATATCAGGTTTTTCCCTGAACTTTAAGTGATAAATATGTGTGCCATGTGATTTAAAATCCATAAAAGTTGTTTTTGAAGGAAAAAAAGTACACCTTTCCAAGCCTCAGTTTTTTCATCTGTAAGATGGGAGTAATAATGCCCACCTCCACCCATACTCTGTAAACAGTAGCAAAAATATAAAATCAAGAACACTGATAATGAATTAGGAACAAGAAATAGAACGCTTCTTCCTCACTTGCCCTGCCATCTCTGGCACCCAGACTCTCCCACTGTCCCTCAGTCATGAAAAGAAGGACACAGAACACGGAGGAGCTCATATTATAACCAAAGTTGCAATGGGCAGAACGTTTGTGGAGGGCTCTGTCCAGATGCTATACGTACATCCCTTTACCCCACAACATAGGTACTATGGCCCCATTTCAAGATGAAGAGACTGAGGCTCAGGGGAGGGACTGCCACCTCACACAACTTGAAGCAGTGACATGAGAATTTGAACTCTGGGACATCTGGTTCCCAAACCCGCACTGGAGGGGCTCAGGCCACCCCAGGCTCAGGCAGTGGCAGGACTCACAGCGCAGGCCACGGGCCGGAAGGAGGTGAGCCTCTCGGCGGGGTAGGACGTGTTGCCACTCCAGGCATCCCAGGACGGGTACTCACCCCGCTCCAGCACATACTGCTGCCCTTGGAAACCGGCGTGCTCAAAACCCACCCACCTGCGGACAGAGGGGAGAGAGCAAGAGGTTAAGAGGCCCCCACCCTGACTTCTGGACCAGTGGTTGTCACGCAGGGGTGACTTTGGCCCCCAAGGAGGCATGGAACAATGGCTGCAGGCATTTTTGGTCCTCGTGCTGGGAGGAGGGAGCAGAGGGTTTTGCCGCTGGCGTTTAGTGAGTAGAGGCCAGGGATGCTGCTAAACGTCCTCCAAGGCACAGGACAGCCCCCCAGCACAGAATTACCCGGCCCCAAACATCCAGCCTGTTGACATGGAGGAGTCCAATCTAGACCTAGTAGCCCACTGCCTCGCTGTGCATACTGTAGGTAGGGGACCGGCTCCGTGCAGGTAGCTGGCACTCTTGCACATGTCCCTCTAGGCCATGTTGATGAGGCTTGACCACATGCTGACTTAAGCCTTGGCCATCTCATGACTCTCTCTCTCTCTCTTAACAAAACATATCTCATGCTCAGAGCCTCAGTCAGGCAACAATGTTCAACTACAGAATGCTACAATTATTTTTTTTTTTTTTACTATATTTAGTTATAGTTACCTTTTACTTTTGGTGAGTGATATTGGCTTTTGATTTGTGCCTAAGAGGGACATTTCAGATGCAACACTGGGTTTTAAAGGTCTGCCCCCGCAGGGCTGCCTCATCCTGTGGGAAGGCTCTGCGTGAATGGCGCCCCTTACATTTGAGCAGTGCACAACCTGCACGACCTTACACTGCCATCCTGCACACTCCCCAGCATCTCAGACACAAGGAAGGCACACCGGTACAGTTAGAGCCTGGGAAGATAACACCTAGAACATCTAAAAGTCCCAGCACCCCTCTCTAGATCACCTCCTGTCTCCCCCACTCTGATTCCAATCCCCCTGGACTCACGCTCCACTCAGCACTTTCAAAGATCGCACAGTCTCAAAACCAAGCTCCAGCACACTGGGGCACTCAGCTGTGAACTCATGCCGCCGGCCTTGGAAGCCCTCCTCATCCCACACCACGATCTATGCCGGAGAGAAAAGGTGGAGACGCGCATCAGAGTCCCGTGAGCGGTTGGGGCTTCACCCCAGGACTCAGGGTGGGGCAGATCAGGTAAAGCAGGGATTGCAAACTCACATGCCTCCAGGGGCCAGGAAAGGAGCGTGAGGGCTGAGGACCCAGGAGCATAGGCCCTGTGGAAGTGGGCGGCATCTGCTCAGCGCCACCTACTGTTGCCACATGATAATGCGACCAACTGTTAAATTTCCCAAGACAACCCCTATATCTGGACTTTTCTGTGGATCTTCCATGTTTTCAAAGGCTGATGACAAACTCAAAGGTTGGGTTTTTTTTTTCTTCTCTTTTTTAACACAGAGGAAGTCAAAGCAATCATGCCCAGAGACTATGTGCCATTACCAGTTTGCCATCTCTGCCGGAGAGACGGTTGAATTTGGGACCATAAGACACAAGTTCAAATCAAGACCCCAGTGTGTGAACTTGGGCAAGACCCTCTCCCTCTTGGAGCCTTGACTGCATCCTCTGTGAAATGGGCCCTCATTACCGCCCGCCAGGGGTGAGGTGGGGATTCAATGAAGGTGGGGGCGGTGGTCCCCAGGATCTGGGTTCGACCTGTGCCCTCCCACTTCCCAGACATCGCCCCCTTCCCATGCCTCTTCCTACCTTCCAGTGTCCCGCTGACTTGGTGCACTGCAGAGACATGTTGCTTGTTTCCTACACAAGAGAAGAACGTGATAAGCTTCTGCCCTGACTCTGCTCCCCTCCTTGAGGCTGAAGTCTAGTTTGGGCTGATTGGGATCCAGATGGGGTCCAGATGTGCCTGAGGTTGGGGGCAAAGTGTGGCTTTGGCCTGTCCCTCTCCTACCCTTTCCATCTGTGACCAATACCATCTCCTTTTCTTCCAGCCTACCGCTATCTCAAAATGTACCCATTCTTGGTCCCATTCCTCTAAGCCCTGCTCTGTATTGTTTTATCTGCTCACTATGGGAAATTTTCTGTAGCTGCTGGTGGGCGGATGTTTCACCCCAGGCAAGAACCAAGGTGCTCAGCTTAAGATAGCCTCCCAAAGACAGCATCTGACCCAAAAATGGAACTCTAATAGTGGAAGTTGAGGCAACAGGATTGCAGGAATAATTCTGGTTTTAAATGGGGGTTGCAGGTACTGGTCTTGATGTCTGGATCCTAGTTAGGATGCCTTGGTTAGGATTAGGATGGCATTCAGGACGGCACAGTGATGTCCCCAGGATTGGGGACCTGGGCTCCCCTCCCTCCCAGGATGCTCACCCAGAGCTCAGATCCCACTCCTTCTCCGAGCCTGGGACTTACCGAGGTGGACCCAGAGAACATGCCAGACCTGGCACCAGCGGAGGTCAGGCTCTTATAGGCAGGGAGGAGAGAGGGCCCCTGGGGGACAGAGCCCTGACTCAGCAAGCGAGCAACGGGAACAAAAGCCAGCCCTGGCTGGAACTGCAATAGAGAGGTGTCAGCAGCATTGGCTTCGGCTGGGAGGGAAAGGTCAGATTGCTCCCACTCAGGGATTACCCATGAAGAAGGCAAGAGGAGGAAGGTCTGCCTTAATCAGCTCCATGGGACTCCTGACTGGAGAGGGATAACAAGCGGTAGACACAGAGTCTAAAAACCTCGTCCTTCCTAGCTGTGTGACCTGGGGCAGGTCGTTTCCCCTATTTCTTCCTGGAAAATGGGACAGGAATAAACTATATCACAGGAGATTATGTAACATGCCTGGAACAGACATTCAACAAATGCCTATACGTTTCCCCCTCCCAGGTCCCTTCCTCTTCCAGTGGGAGCGATCAGGGTAGACTTCATGGTGGAGGTGGCATTGAAACTAGGCTCTGAAGGGTGAGGAGGATTTGTACAAAGTGAGATGGAAGGAAATGCTTTTGCTGGGCAAAGCTGTAGAGGTAGGAATATGGGGCTGGTGGCCTGATGGTGCTGGAGTTCTGGGACCCTGAAGGAGAGCAGAGGGACACAGGCAGGAAAGGTGGCTGGGCCAGGGCCTCCAGGGCCCACAAAGCTCAGAGAGGAGTCCAGAGGGCTCTGTGGGCAGAATGAAGGAGCTGGTGGGTGTGAACACGCTTTGCAAACTGTACCACACCCGCTGAATATCCAGGGTTTGTAGAATTCGCTTTGTGCGCCCTCTCCCCACACTCCCACCCTCTGAGTTGGCCTAAGAGGGGGCTTTCACAGCATGGGAAAGAGCATGGCTGGAAACCAGATGGCTCTGGGTGACCTGGAGGATGTCCTAGGTCAGCTCATGGCATCTAAAATGGCAATATTAGTTCCCTCCTGAGAGGGTTAAAGGTAGCCCTATCAAATGCATAACTTTAGGGCTTCCCTGGTGGCGCAGCGGTTGAGAGTCCGCCTGCCGATGCAGGGGTCACGGGTTCGTGGCCCGGTCCGGGAAGATCCCACATGCCGCAGAGTGAGCCATGGCCACTGAGCCTGTGCGTCCGAAGCCTGTGCTCTGCAACGGGAGAGGACACAACAGAGGGAGGCCCGCGTACCGCAAAAAAAAAAAAAAAAAAAAAAAAAAGCATAACTTTAATATTAGTTTGCCATGAAGATTAAAGGCTAAGAATGTAGGCTCTGTAGCCAGACCGCCCAGGGTTGTGTCCCACTCTTGTTGGCTCAGTAACCTCGAGTATGTTACTTAATCTCTCTGAGCCTCAGTTTCCTCATATGTAAAATGAGTATAACAAAGTAAATTGGGTTTAACCTAAGAGACAGGGGTATTGTGAGGGTAAGTGTGAATTACACATGAACAGCACTTGCTGTTCCGGAACTTCGCCTGGAACATAACATTTATCATGTGTCTCCATCATCATTGCTAATAAAAAAAAATTACTATTGACACATCTGCACTCCCATGTTTGTTACAGCATTATTCACAATAGTCAAGAAGTGAAAATAACCTAATTATCCATCAATGGATGAGTGGATAAAGAAGAGGTGCTATATAGATATAATGGAATATTATTCGGCCTTGAGAAAGAAGGAAATCCTACCATTTGTGACAGCATGGATAGACCTTGAGGGCATTGTGCTAAGTGAAATAAATCAGACAGAGAAAGACAAATACTGTATGATTTCACTTACATATGGCATCTTAAAAAGACAAAATCAGAGAAGTGGAGAGTAAAATGGTGGCTGCCAGGGGCTGGGAGGTGGGGGAAACAGGGAGATGATGCTCAAAGGGTATAAACTTCCAGTTATAAGAATAACAAGTTTGGGGACCTAATGTACAACAGGGTGATTACAGCTAATATGTATCGTATACTTGGATGTTGCTTAGAGAGCAGATCTTACATGTTTCCCAACAACAAAATAAATAGTAACTATGTGATGGGATGGAGGTAGCAATCATTTTGCAATTTGTAAATGTATCAGATCAACGTATGGCACACCTTACACTTACACTATGTTGTGTGTCATTTATATTTCACTAAAGCTGGGGAACATGATTACCCTTAAATACAGGAGGGCATCGTTTTTAAGAGCTTGGGTTCAGGAGTTAAAAGGATGTGACTGGGACTTCCCTGGTGGTCCCGAGGTTCAGTCTTCGCCTTCCAATGCAGGGGGTGTGGGTTCGATCCCTGATTGGGGAACTAAGATCCCACATGCCTCGTGGCCAAAAACCAAAATAAATAAATAAAACAGAAGCAATATCGTAACAAATTCAATAAAGACTTTTTAAAAAATGGTCCACGTCAAAAACAAAAAAACTTAAAAAAAAAAAAGATGTGAGTCCTAATTCCATTTTACAGGTGAGGAAACAGGCTGAGAGAGGGGAAAGGGACTTGCCTCGGTTTCCTTATCTGCAAAGAGGGTTGATCGCAGAGCCCCCACCATCATAATGAGGATTATAGGAGCCAAGCCAGTTAGATGCTCCCAGTGGAGCCATCCAGCATGGGGCTGTGCACCCCCTACGTCTGCCCTCAGTGTTTGGCTGGCAGCCCATTGCCACAGGGATCATGGAACTGCCCCAGACATCTTGACCTTGAAACCCAGACCTGTGGGTGGCCCCTACCACAGGCATCTTGGCCCCCATTACAGTGGCTGCCCCATCCTGCGGTCGCTGGCCCCCTCCCAGGCCTTGGCCCAGGATGAAAGGCTGAGGGGGAGGCCAGGAAGTGAGGCGGGGGTGGAAGGGCACAAGGCAGAGCTGGCCCCAGGCCACGGTGACCTCCATGTGCAGCTGGGCTCCGCGGGGAATCTGGGTTCCTGGACCCCCATAGAAGAAGCAAAAACCTATGCAGGATCCCCTCTCCCCGCCCCCCCACCACCTGGGGCCAGGGAGTCAGACTGCAGGCTGGTCTGGCCCAGCAGCGCCCCTGGGTCCCTCCAGCCCTGGCTCTACTATGAGTTCGCCCTGTGTGACCTTGTTGAAGTCCATTGTTCTACCCGGGCCTCTACCTGACATCCGTCTCTCTCTGTCTGTCTCTCTCCCCATCACCGTCCATCTGCCCCTCTGTATGTCCATCTCCATCATGTCTCTTTCTCTGTCGCTCTCCACTTCTCCCAATCTGTTTCCCTGTTTCTCTCCCCCAACCTGGTTTCCCTAGCTCCCCCTTACCCGGGCCAGTCCCTGACTCTGACCTCTCTGTACCCTAGTTTTGCTCATCTGCCAAATGGGTATAATGAAAGTGCCAAATAAGGTGGGTCGTCCTGGGACCTGACCAGAGGGCAGCGGTAATGCATTTAGCGCTACTCACGGCCCCTTCTTTCCTGTGCAGCACCCCATAGGGACACCTGCGCCACTGATAACTGCAGACACGGAGGCCCTGAGGGATAGAGACTTGCCAAATGCCACACAGTGCAGAGTGACTGAGCCTGGACTCAAACCCAGGTCCCCTACCTTCTGGGGGCTCCCCTTTTCCCTGCCCCAGGATTGGCAGCCAGTGGGGACCCTGTGGGCCCAGCCCCGGCTGGGGTTTGTGAGAGCGGCACCCGGGCAGGGAATGGGCAGAGGCAAAGCGATGTGGCTACTGGCCAGGGTTTCTGCTGTGCCTGCCGGGCTCACAATGGGAAGTGCTGCTCTTTGCAGGAACCCGGCAGGGTCAGGCCTCTGAGGCCCCTGACTCTCTGCCTGGGCCTGCTGAGCCAGCTCCCCCTTTGTGCCACAGACCACAGGGTCTGGTGTCTGCCAGACTATAAAATGGGGGGTCGGGCCCTCGTCACCCACTGCACCAGCCTGCCCTCCTGCCTGCCCTCCAGCAGGAAGTAGCAGGGCCCCAGGTAAGAGGGGACCCACCGCAGTTAAGAGCCCCAGGGGAGGGGAGGGGACAGGACAGAGGCAGAGAGAGGGGGAGGCAGAGAGATCAGGGACAGAAAAGAGTCAGGGAGACCGGGTAATCAGGAGAAAGGCAGAGGGAGAGAGAAAGAGAGAGAGAAAAGATAAAAATAGAGACAGGCAGAGAGAGGAAGAGAGGGAGGGAGGAAAAGAAAGAGAAGAAAGACAAAGAACAGATAGAGAGATGCAGAGGTATAAAGAGAGCAAGATACTGGGGAGAGAAACAGAAAGACAGAAGCATAGGCAGAGAGAGAAGTAAAAACAGAAATAAACAGGAAGGCAGCAAGAGGGAGGGGGAGGGGAAAGGGAGGAGGCGGGGGGGGGGGGGGGGAGGAGACAGAGAATATTGAAGGAATGAGCACATGTCCAGAAAGCAAGGAACCCAGCTACCATACGAGGGGAATGTTGATTCATAGACGGACTTGGCCGGGGTCAGGGTGGGGGTAAGCAAGAGCCTGGAAGCCACAGATGTGGCCCAGATGTGTGGCCTTGCGCATCGTGGGCAGAGCACCCCAGAGTCACCGCAGTCTTTCTCAGAGGGAGACTCAGGGAGGGATCTGCTTGCCCCAACCAGCTCTTTCTTACAGAAAGTGTTCAGGAATCCACTGCCAGAGGGTCTTGATGATCTGCGCCATCAGGGGGTCCTGGAGCCCCCTGGAAATTGTCTCCAAAATTAAAGGGGGCATTTTTTTCCCCTGGGGACAAGGACAAGGCGTTCTTCAAACACTCAAAGGCATCCATGACCCCAAAGTAATGAGGAACCACTGGAATTGACCAAAGTCCTCTCCACCCAAAGCCTACACAGCCACAGCCTCCTTTTAGAACCCTGCCATGGGCTAAACACGTCCTCCTGGAGCCTCCTTTACGCCCCAGTCCCAGGCCTGTGTCTGCACCCACACACCCGTTCCCAGGCAGTACCAGAGGGAGCAGTTTGACTGGGAAAGGAGAGAGGAACATGCATTCATGCAATCTCTGAACAGATGTTAACTGAGCATCTCCTGTGGGCCAGGTGCTGAGCCAGGTGCTGGGGATGGAAGGATGAATCAATCCGAATAAGAAAATGGCAAAGCCCAGTTGCTGGGTTTGCTTGCACTGAAATTGGAGTCCTACCACTTAGTAGCTATGTGGCCTTGGGCAGGTCATCCCACCACCCCCACCACCTCCACCAGCCTCAGATTGCTCAGAGGAGATAAGAGGTTACGGTGAGGGACGGATGTGTTCATTCATGAATGCAACAGAGCCTGGCCTCCCTTAGGCTTTCCCAAACGGGACTTCTTGTTATGAATCTGCTGAGGCAAGTGGAGGTTGCCCAAGCCAAGAAGCATGATAAGTGGTGAGAAGCATGATAAGTGACTCCGGGGGGGCAGAGGAAGGACATACAGGGGGACAGCGAGGACACGGCTTGGTGGAGGCACCGGCAGGGTCTGAGGCCTGGAGAAAAGCATAACAGGGATGAGTGGTCCCCAGACAGGAAATCCTTGACGGCAAAGGGAGATGGGGACAGAAAACATTCAGGCTTCTGTTTTAGAAGGAGAAAGACTAGATGAATTCAGAGAAGCCTGAGCACACAGGGTGATGGGGGATGAGAGCCAGGGAGGCAGCTTGGGGGCGCCATCCCTGACTGAACCCAGGCCGAAGGGTTCTTTACAGACTTTTGCAGCTGGGAACCATGTCTCAGCCAGCGGCCAAGGCCTCGGCAACAGCTGCGGTGAACCCAGGGACTGATGGGAAGGGCTCAGCCCCGGGCTCCGGCCCCGCCCAGGCCCCAGCCCAGCGGGTGCCCGCTGCCAAAGGGGACCTGCCTCCCGGGAGCTACAAGGTGAGAACCTGGGGGCGGGGTGGCTGGGCTCCACCCCGCGCTTCCTCTCCCTCCTCCCCTTACCCCGCCCCTCCCTCTTCCTCCCCCTCCTCCGCTCCCCTCCCCGCCAGTCTGCGCAACCGGCTTGCACCTGCTTGCAGTTTGTCGCATGCAAGAAACAGATGGAGAAGGAGAGAAAGCGGGCTGGCTTAGCAGCAGGAAACGGCTGTCCCAGGAGGTCCTCCAGGGCAGAAGGCCGGCCTCAGACCCTCTTGAAACGTGTTCCAAGCGGTCGGTCAGGCTGAAAGGGCCCCTGGAAAGCGAGGCATCCGGTCCCTTTGGATTGGGTTGGGTTGGGTTTCAACCTCGGGTGCACAGAACTGGGTCATTTCACCACCCTTGGTTCATGACAGGCTGTCATGCAGTCCACCCCTGGCCAGATTTTATTTATGTAGTCGCTTATTTAACGGTTAATTTCAATTTAATTTTTAATAATACAACACACACCTGCAAACCACCACTTGTGTGAAAAGCCAGGACTTGGTAAACATCCTCAATCTAACTTCAAAGTGTTCCCGCCCCACTCCGTTCCCACCTCTCCAGCCGCCTACCCGCCCCGCACCGTCCCGTGAGCCCACCTCCTTCCTCCCCTACGCGGGGCAACTGCCATCCTCACCCCGTCCATTATCTGCTTGCTTTGCTTTTTTATGTACTTTGATGCATTGTCCCTTTAAAAGTATACATGTGTATTTTATTTGTTTTTAACTTACTGAAATGTACCATATGTAATCTTTCTGGATTTTTCTTTTTTCTTCCTATGAGATTTCTAATAGTCACTGATACTGTTGTGCACTGCTGTGGGTCATTCGTTTTGGTTGCTGTGTGATGTTTCAGAGTGTGACCGTCACTCCTGGGTGATTGGTAACTTTGCTGTCGTGAACGGCTTGGTCAGGGTGTTCTCAGCCATGTCACCTGCAAGAGTTTCTCTTGGGCAGATAAGTGTAGGAGTGGAAGGGCTGGGTCAAGGGTATGTGAACCTCTTTCCCTTTTATAGCTGGAAACTGAGGCTCAAGAGAAGGCATCCACTTGCCTCGGTCCAAGTGAATGGCAGCGTTTTCCCAACTTGGGACAACAAACAGATAAAAACCAAAATTGGATGCTTAGTGAGAGGAGGGGATTAGCCCACGTTTACACAGGGGCCCCTGCTTCTGGCCTCCCCTATGGTTTGTTGGGTAGACTGGTGAATGTTTCCTGAGCATCAGCTCTGTGGCAGGGGCTGGGGCTTGGAGATAAAGAAATGGATCCACCCCATTGGTCTTTGGAAGGGTTGAGTGAAAGGGGAGAGGCGTGCATAGAGATACCCAGAAGCAAAGCAGCAGTGACTGTGTGGTGTGTTACTTGTGCTGCTGATGGGATGAGCACAGTGGGGGGGGGCACTCAACCAAGCTCACCCAGGGAGAGGGTATCAGGGAGGGCTTCCTGGAGGAGGTGACATCTGAGCCTAGGACAGGACAGGGGACATGAGCTCCAGGATGGGGATATGTGACGAAGAAGGCATCCCAGACAGGAGAAAGAGCACAGATAATGGCCTGGAAGGAAGATCCATCAGTTCCTAAAGATGGTACAGATATTAAGTTCACAGATCTTGGCTCATGGCAAGCTCTCGTGTGATCTGGGCACAGCCTGCTCTTATTTACATAGGTACTTAATGCATATTTGACCTGGAGCCTCTCCCTGCTCACTCTACCCCCTTGACATGGGGGCTTCTCTCCTGCAGCTGGTAGTCTTTGAGCAGGAGAACTTCCAGGGCCGGCGGGTGGAATTCTCCGGGGAGTGCTTGAACCTGGGAGACCACGGCTTCGACCGAGTGCGCAGCCTCATTGTCATCTCAGGACCGTGAGTGTTGGGCAGTGGAAGGGCGCTCCCACAGCCCTAGTAAAGTAATAAGAAAACGACCGTAGCTGCCATTCACTGGCCACCTGCTCCACTCCATGCCTATCACCATGCTATTAGAGACACATACAGTCATCCCTCAGTATCCGAGGTGGATTGGTTCCAGGATACGCAGTGGATACCAAAATCCTCGGATGCTCAAGTCCCCGTAGTACAGCCGAACCTCCGTATCTGCAGATGTTGGATGCATGGGTACTGGGGCCAACTGTATATTATTTCCAGTACTTCTTTCAAACCCAAGAGGGAGGAAAGAGAGGTATGATTCTCCTTCCCATTTTACAGGTGAGGAAACTGAGACTCTGAGAGGTGATTTGATTAACATAAGGTCACATTGACAGTAAGTCATGATTCCAGGCTCTAGAGAGATGTTTTTTCTGCTATAGAAGGAACCCTGCCCATCGCTGATAGCAGGAGGAGGCCAAAGAGCCAGGTGTCCATTAGCTGTCCCCTCTCCTGGGCATCAAGCAGCCTTAAAGGTAATAATAAGCATCTCTTGAGTACCCGTTAGTGCCAGGCACTGACTGAGGGCTTTACCTAGATGATCCTACAGTGCTGTATGAGGTAGGGGCGATTCTTATTCCCATTTGACAGATGAGGAACCCGAGGCTCAGAGAGGTTAAGTCCCTTGGCCAAAGTCACCTAGTGGTAAGTGGTAGACCCTGAGTTCAACTCAGGTTGATCAGTTTCATCTCTAGCGCTTTAATCACCATGCTCCACAGCCTGCCCCTAACTCTCTGGGCTTCTCTGGGCCTTAGTGACCCCCATATAAAACAAGAATAATTGTCCCTTGGACATAGTGGCTGCACCAACTTCAGCCCCTGTGCACTAAGCTCAGGGTGCAGGGCCAGCCCCCGGATAAGACCCACAGGGCCCCCTTGCCTCTTGTCTCTCCAGCAAAAAAGCCCTCAAGGAGTGTGATCAGCCTGTACACCCAGCATACAAAGAGCAGAGATAAGCTTTGAGGTCAGACAGGTCTGGGTTTGAGTCCCAGCTCCCCTGTTTGCCTTGTTCAGTGTCCAAGCCTCAGTTTCCTCATCTCTGAAATGGGCAGAGTAATGGTCCTCGCTACCCTCCACTGGATTATTCTAAGGTCTGAAGGGGATAATGCAGCATGGGCCTGGCACTTTGGGGGTGCCCAAACATGGCAGGTGGCAGTGAGGATTATTTACCCACCCTGTTGCCCTGTGAGTTTAGCCAAGTTACCCTGGGCCAGGGTAGGCTGGTAACCTCAGCCCCACCCTCAGACTGCCCAGCTGGGAGCAGAAGCTGCTGGATGTGGCCAGTTTGGGTTTTCAGGCTTTTTTCATTGTCTGTGACTCAAACCCAGAGTATCTCTCCTCAAACAAAGATGCGGCTGGTCTTTGGTGTGTGCTCTGGGACTGCACCTGATGGGAGAGAAAAGATCCTGTGTTCCAGGGCCCTGGCTCTGTGTCAGGACCAGCAGAGTCATGGGAAAAACAGTGGTGGAAAAAAAAAAAATGAGGGGATGAGGTGGGCCGGGGGAGGGGAGGAGAGGTGTGCCCTCACATAGATGGGGAGGGGAGGCATGCCTGCCTGAAACCTAGGAGGCCTCAACTGACACCTGACACCATCATGTGACTTTAGACCAGTGACTTAGCCCCTCTGAGCCTCAGTTTCCATATCTGGGAATTCAGATTTCTGCCCTACCTCTCTCCTTGCTTGTAAGACTCAAATGAACCGTAGGAGATGAGAAAAGGCACTAAAATAAATATTGACAATTCCTCACTCATGTAACAGGTCCTCACTGGGCATTATGACTCCTGAATAAGACAGTTTTGGGGGAGGGTGGCAGGGTGGCAGGACCACATCAGTGTCTGTCTTTCCATAAGCTCAGATCTCCAGCAGCTTCCCTTCCTCTTTAGTCATGAAAGATATTACTGATTATGCTTTCTCTTTTAAACTCTCATAACCTCCTGACAAGGTAGATGCAATCATTTCTTCTCCTTTTCGGAGGCTTAATGAGCTTAAGTGACTTGCCGGAAGTCATACAGAAAATAAATGATGAACTGGGATTAGAACTCAGGTCCATCTGTTTCCAAAGTCTATGTTCTTAACTCCTACAAGGCACCATCTTCCAAGGCTCCCTTCCCATCCACCCATTCATCCATCTGTAGATCAACCCATCCATCCATCTGTCCATTCATTCTCCACCCATTTCTTTATCCCTCTATTTACCCCTCCCTCCATCCATCCATTCTCCATCATGCATCCATCCATCAATACACTCATCCATAGATCCAGCCATCTATCCTTCTATCCACCTACCCATCCACCTGTCCATCCACTTATCTACTCATCCATTTAACCTCCCTCCCTCCCTCCCTCCCTCCCTTCCTTCCTTCCTTCCTTCCTTCCTTCCTTCCTTCCTTCCTTCCTTCCTTCCTTTTAGCTTCCTTCCTTCCTCCCTCCCTCCTCCCCTCTTCTCCTCTACTCTAGACTAGGGAGGACTGAGGCAGATTCACCTCTATTCTGGAAGAATCAGTCTGCATCTTCAATTCTGTCACTCCAGTGTGGGTTGGTGCATTCCTCAGACAAGACTTGAGGCTCCTGGGACACATTCTGTTTCAGTCTGTGGTGGTAGCCCATCCCTCCTCCATCTGCCGCATCTCCTTCTGGGTAGAGGAAGGTCCCAGCAGCCCCCAGGGAGATAAGACTAATGTCAGTGACCCCTCAGCCCTCTCATGTTCCCTCAGAACTCCTGAACACATAGAGAGCAAAGTTCAAGAGGCTCCTTAGTCTCAGCCTTCTCATCTATGAAATGGGGATCATCTTATCTCCCCCGGAATCCCTGGTCCCTCTAACACAAGCTCACTGCCATTCTCAATCAGGCTGCACTGAGAAAGCCCCCATCTGACATCAAGCTTAGTTAGTCCTTTTAGAGAACTGAACACCTGCATATGCGCAATCACATTTAATTCTCATAGGTATCTGAGAGGTGAATATTACTATCGTTTCCCTCCCACTGCCCTCATACCGATTACTGCCTTCTGTATGCCAGGCCGGTCTTTACCAAAAATACAGGTGATTCAAGCACCTGTATCAATTTTTCCCTACCCCCATACCTCCAGGACTATTATTTATTTAATATATTTCATTTTAAATGACCCTTTTTTGACACAAGTAAACATATATCAAAAGAACCTTTGCATCACTTTTACAAATGGACAGCTGATATCATCTTCTATAAGTAAAAGGTATCCGTAAACAAATTTATACAATGAACACAGTATAATAGCCTGCTCAAGGCTCCGGGCTGGTGGCCTGTTCTTCCTTTGCTACAAAGAGAGATTAATAAGTGTTAAAGACACATTAGTATCCAACAAAGACTTTCTCCTAGCTGGAATCCATTTTTTAAAAAATGTCTTCTTGTGTGTTATTTCTCCCAAGTCCTTATAATACTTAAATTATATGTAAATCCTACATCTGGGGAAACATTTTGCTCGTATCATTACACACATTGTCTCATTTAATCCTTCACCAACTTCAAGAAAATAGGCGTATTAGATGAGGAAACCGAGGCTCAGAGAAGTGAAGCAACTTCCTGTGGTCACACAGCCAGTCAGTGGCATAGCCTGGGATCAAACCCACCGGCCTTGGGGCTGCCTTGCAAGGGGAAGATTGGAAGGCAAGTGGTGGGAGGGGCTTCTGCTAAGGATTCCTCTCCTCTCTGCCTTTGCCCCTCCTGACTCTCCCCGCCCTCCCCATCTCTCTCATGTCCAGCTGGGTTGCCTTTGAGCAGTCCAACTTCCGGGGGGAGATGTTCATCCTGGAGAAGGGCGAGTACCCGCGATGGGACACGTGGTCCAGCAGCTACCGCAGCGACCGGCTCATGTCTTTCCGGCCCATCAGGATGGTGAGTGGCTCCTGTACCGGGCCTGGGGGATTAGTGCGGCAGGGCAGCAGCAAGCGTGAGGTCTGATGGCCAGGAGAGCAAAGGAGTCAGGTGAGCAAGAAAAATAAAGAAGGAATGGTGGGCAGGGAGGCTCAGCGACCTCTGAGTTGTCCAAGGGCAATTGGCTCTTGTGCTCAACAATTCATAAGGCATCCCTGATACACTCATCGTGTGTCCAGCTCCTACTAGGAGCCCAGGGCCAATGGAACCTAGTTTTTTCCTTCTCTGCTGCTGTCAAGAATGGACTGAACCTCTCAGTTGTTGTCTTCCTTGACTCTCTTTGTGGAATGTTTCTAATTGCTGACTGCACATTAGGCAGTCCTGGGGAGCTTCGAAAAATCCCAAGGTCCATCCAAATCATCAGACATGCAGGTTGAAGCTCGTGTGATAGCCGAAAAGAGGGATATTGTAGAAAGGCCCCATGAAAGGCACCTTATCCTGATGATAAGACTATATACTGAACTCGCCCCTTCATAATGTTTAACTAAGTAGGTAGCATAACTTCAAGACTCAAAGCCAAAATAGGTGGAGTTATCTCCAAGCCAATCACAGGTTTCTTCTAGAATTATGTTGATGATGATTCATGAACCAGCCACATCTTCACGCACCAATGTTAGTATCTGATGGTAACCAATTTTGCCATCTGAGATGGGAATTTTCGTGAAGAGTTTTTTTGCGGTACGCGGGCCTCTCACTGTTGTGGCCTCTCCCGTTGCGGAGCACAGGCTCCGGACGCACAGGCTCAGCGGCCATGGCTCACGGGCCCAGCTGCTCCGCGGCATGTGGGATCCTCCCGGACCGGGGCACGAACCCGTGTCCCCTGCATCGGCAGGCGGACTCTCAACTACTGCGCCACCGGGAAAGCCCCGTGAAGAGTTTTCATGCATGTCCTTTTGAGGCTATCATGTGCCCACAGCCAGCTGTTTTGGCACCACCAAACTTACCTTAATGGATTATCCATTCCGATCATTCCTAGTGTTTTTCTCAAATTGAGGCTGAATTATCAGCCTTAATAATGGACTTTTTGTAAGAATTCGTAGAACTCTCTCAGTCAATGGTCCTTATAAGGCGGTCTATGTCAACGGACCTTGTTTGGAAGAGCGATCAGCTAGGGCATTTCCAGTAGCTTCTAGAACCTTGCTGTCCAATATAATAGCCATATATGGCTATTAAACACTTGAATCTTGGCTAGTCTGAATGGAGGTGTGTAACAGACATGCCAGGCTTTGAATACATAGTAAAAAAAAAGAATAAGAATGTAAAATACCTCATTAATATTGCCATGTTGGCTACATATTGAAATCATCATAATTTAGACACATTTGCTTAAATAAAATATATTATTAGAAAAAAATCCCCGAGGGGGAGGGAAAAATGAGGAGCTTGGGATGAACACACGCACACTTCTATATATAAGATAGATGACTGACGGGGATCTACTGTGTAGCACAGGGAACTCTACCCAATATTCTGTGATAACCTATATGAGAAAAGAATCTAAAAAAGAGTGAATATATGTATGTATAACTGAATACCTGAAATTAACACAACATTGTAAATCAGCTATACTCTAATAAAAGTAAAATTTTAAAACAAAGAAAAAATTCCCAATGCCTGGACCCCACCCCAGACCAATTAAATCCACATCTCTGGGGCTGAGTCGCAGGCACTGATATCTTTTCATGCCTCCTAGGTAGTCTCTGGGTAGCCAGGGCTGAGAGCCACTGGTCTAATTCCTCCTCTGTATCCCTGCCACCATCCTAACGTGGCCCATCTTCTCTCATATCTGAGTGGCTCCAACTCCCTGCCAGCTGGTTCCCTGACTCCTTTCCAGCCCTCTCTCCTGGGAAGTTAGAGGGATCTCTATCTCAACCATCTTCCACCTACAGTCATTCATTCAACCACAAACACATTGATGTGTTTCTGCCAGGCTGTGTCGTAGGCTCTGGGTGTGCAGCTGTGCTTGGGACAGGCAAGGTCCCTGCCCTCGTGGGAGGTATCTACTGAAAACCTCATCACAAAAATGAATCTGTAATGGTGAACAGCTGTTGCACGTGCTGCACGGGGGCCATGCAGTGTGCTAGGAGAGGGGAAGAGGAAACCGGAGCTCTGATGTTGGGGAAGAGGGGGTGGGAGGGGTCAGGGGTGATCAGGAGAGACAGCTTGCAAAGGATGGGAACTGAGTCAGCCATTTGAACAGTCTCCCAGGGAACAGTTAGGGCAGAGTTCCTGGAATGAAGGTGGAGTGGGTGGGACCAAGGAACTAAAATAGGGCCACTGTGGCTGCAGCAGAGGGAGTGGAAGGGAACAGGGTGCAAGATGGGATGGGAAGAATGAAATCCTTCTCTGGAAGGTTCTGCCCTTCGCTGGCTGTGTGACATTGATCAAGAATCTTGACTTCTCTGAGCCTCTGCATCCCTGATCATCATAATAAAAATAATAAATTTGCTTGGAGCACTTGGTGTATGTATACCAGACATCATGCTAAGTGCTCTGTATGGATTAACTCCAGGAAGTAGAGGCTGACACTCCCTTTTCCCAGATGAGGAGGGCGCTTTGAGGCTGGACAACTGCCATCCTGGGCGAGTCCCATGGTGGCCTGAGCAGACTCCGCTCTCTCTTTCCACACCCAGAAGGCCCTGCTAAGTCACTTCTCTTTGCCCCATTCATACTTCACAGCCCTGACCCAGTCTCTCCTTCCCTAGGACGCCCAGGCGCACAAGCTCTGCCTGTTTGAAGGTGCCAACTTCAAGGGCAACACCATGGAGATTCAGGAGGACGATGTGCCCAGTCTCTGGGTCTATGGCTTCTGTGACCGCGTGGGCAGCGTGAAGGTCGCCAGCGGAACGTAAGAGTCCCTCCTGTGGGCCCTCATCCCCTGCTTCAAGCTCAGACAGAGTCGGACGCCGTTCCCCTTACAGGATGCGACATCAGACATACAGGAAAGGCCCCGGCTCCTCCTAAATTCTCTCTGTGCCAGTGGCTGGGATTCCACAAAGAGAGCTTCATCCCTCTGGGGAGTGGAGTCATTTGTTGACGAACTACATGTCAATGTAAACAGACCTAGCAAGTTGTTCTAAAAAGTGGGAAGATGGAGCGAATAGCGGCTTCTAACCCTGTATTTGGGTTGGAGGAATAATTAAGTGCAAGGGGCAGAGTTGACGTGAGTAGATGAGTCTGGATGTGTCTAGGGAAAGGGAATATTCAGGGAAATTGTAGCCTCTAGGGACGTGAGTAGAATGACATCTGAGAGGTGAGACTGTGTAATGAAAGGTCCTTAACCCCATCACTGATGCACTGTGGGACCTGGGTGATCCACATGCCCTCTCTGTGACTCAGTGTTGCCATCTATACAATGGGCTCAGCAGACTCCTTATTCCGAAGGACTCCTTCTGCTCTGAACTCTCAGGATTTGAAGCTTTCAAAACAGAGCCCCACGTCCCCATGTCCATGAGAACACAGGGAAGGGCCGGATACCCGAAGGAGGTCACTTTATCGATGCCCCTGCCTCCAAACAACCATGCCAGACACCCCTGGTCTCCTCTAGGCAAATGTAAGGTGTCTACCTCTCCACCCCAGACTCTTTCTGAGCTCCTGTAACACAGTCAGGGCTCTGACCTTTTTCTTGCTATTTTCTCCTTCCCTGAAACCCAGTATCCCTGCATTCAAGCAATCTGAAATTTACTAAACATTGCCTGTGAGCCAGGCTCTGTGCTCAGCACACTGGGGGAGGCAGAGATGAAGAAGGGCCAGTTCCTGCCTTCAGGGGGCTTACTCAGTCTAGCAGGGAGATGTCAGTACACCTGTGAGATGATGTCCAACAATAATAGGTAAGTGATGGTCCCCACAGGAGGTCAGAGGAGGAAGGTTGGTTTCTGGGACCGGGGTATGTGTGCTGGAGTGGAGGGTGGGTCCGAGGCTTATCTGGCAAGGCTGGAACTTAAATCAGACTTTGAAAGATGGGCAGGGGCTCTGGGAGAGGCCTGGAAAAACCCTCCCAGCAGAGGCAAGGACAGAATTAGAAATAAATCATGGATAATAACTGGTATTAATTGCTTACTGTGGACCAAGCACTGCGCTAACGACTTTCAATGAATAGTTATTGAGTCTTTACAACACACCAATGAGGCAGGTATGTCATCATGCCCACTTCATAGATAGCAAGCTGGTGCTCTGATAAGTCATTACCTAGTAAATGGCAGAGCTAGGATTTGAACCGATTATATCCAATACCAGAATGTGTGATCCCAACCACTACAGGCAAATTCACTTTCACACAAAGGAAACCATTTTTTGAAACAAAGCTCCCCCTTCTTATCTGCCTCATTGCTAACCAGTCCCCAAGCCCTATCTTCACTCCCTTTAATCCTGTTCTCTGAGCTCTGGGTCACCACTTTCAGTGGGATGTGTATTAATCTCCCTACCATGTACATGTAACCCACTTAGTAAGTACTTTAGATGCATTTTCCCATTTGGCCCCCAAACACCCTAATAAACCAGCTCCCATGACCATCCCCACTTTCTAGAGGAGAAAACTGAGATCTGTCAGAGAGGTGAGATCACTGGCCAAAGCCAGCAGGAAGGGGCAAAGCCAGGACAGAGGAGGTCCCGGTGAACCCAAGCCAAAACCCTCACAGGTGAGGGCTGGAGAGCAGACTGCAGGGATGGATGGATGGATGGAGAACTGACTGGTCAAGGTGGGGGTCCAAGTGCCAGGTAGTGAGGCTAGCCATCTCCATGCTGTCCTTGCTTTCCTACCAGCTGGGTCGGCTATCAGTATCCTGGCTACCGCGGGTACCAGTACCTCCTGGAGCCTGGTGACTTCCGGCACTGGAATGAGTGGGGAGCCTTCCAGCCCCAGATGCAGGCTGTGCGCCGCCTGCGTGACAGACAGTGGCACCGTGAAGGCTGCTTCCCCGTGCTGGCTGCTGAGCCCCCCAAGTGAGTCTACACACCACTCTTCCCTCGTGACCCACCCTTCCGGAGGCTCATCTTCCCCATGCAAATAAAAGTTCCTGAAGCCAAAATGTCTCCTGGGTCTGTGAACAGATGGATGCCTCAAGGTCCCCTGTCACTGCTGGCATGTGACTTCCTCTGTCTTGATAATTATAATAATAATCAAAACAGTGAGCACTGCTAAGTTCTTTACATTCTCTTAGTGTATATTTTGGACTACTCTAGGAGGCCAGTACTATATAATTATTCCTATTTAAAAAGTGAGGACATTGAGGCTCAGAGGGGGAAAGTGACTTGCCCAAGGTCACAGAGGTGTCAAGTCAAAATCTGAACCCAGGCAGTCTGGTTCCAGAGCCGCGCTCTTAAACAAATCTGTGTTTTCAAATTCTACTCCTTCAGGTACCGCTCTCCTGATTTTTGCCTTCTCTGCTTACCACCTGTTTTGTTAGTTACTTAATATATTTATTTAAATAAATAATATTGTGTGCTTAAATGCACTGACTTGTAAATAAAATTTGATAACTCTACAGGATGTGGAAAACAGGCATCATATGGTATAGATAGAAAGCAGTCATATAAGTAAATACAATTTAAAAAGGCCAAGTATTGAATTCTCAGCAGACATCACCGCTTGCTGAAGGTTTTAGCCTGCATCCCGCTTGCTCTTTGACAAAATGGGTGATTAGCAAGAGTCAGAGAGAGGTCTGAAAGACACGCTTGCCCAAACTGACATGTTTCTCCCTGGTTTAATCAAAGAAGAGTAAAAAGAGGCTTATTTCCTTGTATCTGATTTAGTGTTATTTAATCCTGGGTCCAAGTTCCACCTAGAATCATCTCTCCTGCTACAAATGGCACATGCCCTGCTCTGGAAATCTCCATCAGGCAGTATTGACTCCTGAGTCAACAAGTAGCATTGATTGATGTTATTAACCATTAATCTATGCAGAAAGCCTAGGGGAGGTGTTGCCATGGATATCTTCCTGGAGGAGGGGATATTTGAAGAGGGTCTTGAAGGATGGAGTAGGAGCTTGCCTGGTGGCGAATGAGGGAGATGACATCCCAGGCAGAGCAAACAGTGTGGTCCCTGCTACCCCATATGGCACCTTTGTGCAAATGATAAAAATATGCTACTTCCTCAGGACATTTGACGGCCATCTGCCAGAAAGTATTGGAATAAATCTGTGATGTCTACGATGTCATTATGGTACCCTTGTGCAGTGCCCAACCTGCACAGCTGTACTTGGCAGCCGTGTAGCAACATGCACAAAGGCACAGAGGCTGAGAGAGCTTGTGGTGGGTCCAAGCTTATTAAGGTGGGAGGAGTAGTTTGGTGGTTGTGTGGATGGATGTCAGGGGTGGGAAGGGAATGCTAAGTGTGGCAGAAGAGGAAGCCGGAAAGAAAAGTGGGACCTCATGACACCCCGCTCCGTGGTTTTGCTGAGCTTCAAAGTTGAAGCACCACCTCAGATCTTACCTTCTGAGACATGCATTTTCCATCTTCTTCCCACCCTAGTTCTCCCAACATCCACCCTCCAGTTTGACCAGCATCTTGTGTTAGAAGACAGGCTGTCTTGTCTTGGACCAGAAGATAGGACTCCTGGGTAGGAATCAGGAGATATGGGTGTCAGCCCTGCTCTACTGCTAGAAGCTACCAAGTGTTGGGCAAATCACTTCCATTCCCGGGGACTTATTCTTCTCATCTGTAAAATGACAGCTCCAATGTCCATCCAGCCTCAAGATTCTGATGCTGGGATTCTATGGTTCCAAAGTTCTGTGATTCTCCAAGATTCTGTAATTTATGTCTAAGTGTCCACTATTCTCTGATTCTGGTGTCGAGCTACATAGATTCCCATCCTCGATTCCTAAGGTGTGTGAGGACAGCTCTAAAATTCTACTGTGGTGGAATCACACAAAACCAACTTTCACATTTCTTCAATGCTAAGACTTCATCGATGGCAAGATGCCCCATGATTTTATGATTTGAGAAAGAAAAAGAGAATTACTATCCATTCAAATATAACACAGCTGCTTTCTGATCACTTAGAATTTTTATTTCGTCCTTATTGAAAGAACTATTTAAACTTATTTAGACATAACTTTTTCAGTGTATCAATCTTGTGAGTCCTATAAAAGGAAAACACAATAGGGGACTTCCCTGGTGGTCCAGTGGTTAAGAATCTGCCTTCCAAAGCAGGGGACGCAGGTTCGATCCCTGGTCTGGGAACTAAGATCCCACATGCCGCGGGGCCTGCACGCCGCAACTACTGAGCCCGTGTGCCACAACTAGAGAGCCCACGTGTCACAACTACAAAGCCCACGTGTCACAACTACAAAGCCCACGCACTCTGGAGCCCGTGCGCCACAACGAAGAGCCCACGCGCCACAACTAAGACCCAATGCAGCCATAAATAAATAACTAAATATTTAAAAAAAGAAAAACACAATAGACATCCATCAATGAAGCGAGTCCTTAAGTTTCTTTGCATTCATAGTCTAGACCTTCCAGATTGCTTTCAACTCAAAGCTGTTGATGTCCTTATTTTCTCACAGGTGTTATATAAAAAATATGCACGTTAGCATTGCTGAAACAATATGCACACTTGGCAAAACAAACCAACATAACTTGGAAGAAAATGACAAAGCAATTATTTTATATTTAATTTGTTTTATCCATACATTTATGTAACTTTTGCTACTGAATTTATGAATAAATGAAACACGGTAATAGAAAACAGAGAACAAATAAAAATTACAAGCAAAAATAATTAACAAAGATAAAAAGAAACAAGTAAAAGAAAAGAACATCTAAAAGGGCCAGGAGTGTGACATGAGAGTTATAAGCCTATGGTTCCTTCCGTGGGTCCTAGTTCCAAAACGTCTCTTGAAATGTGAGCATCTTACCACCTGGAACAGAATTTCAGAGCTTAAATATGTCACATATTTGCCTCAAAACAGAAACTTTCAGTTTCGACTTCATCAGGTGCTCAGCAGAAGTGATGATGGGTACGATGCTGGAGGATAGCAGTAGAGCTGGACTTGATTGAGTGGCCGTGGTGCTCACAGCCTTCTCAGGGGCTTCTCAGCGCTGTTTTGATTCTGCATGAGTTTTGCTGTAAACGCTGGCTTCAGGATGCAATGCCTGGGCAAGCTGGGACGTCACCATGTTTCCACGCTAGATCTCAGCTCATGAATCTTTGAGTCTCAGGCCTTTGGGAAAATAAAGCACCTTGGTTATGGAACATCATCTCGCACCCACAGTGATCAGAGGCAGCCCACAGCCTTTTGGGCATAGAGACATGGACACAAAGTCAGCGATGTGTGTGCAAGAGCAGGATGGGGACGGAAGGACCACCTGAGGCGTGATCCCTTTTGTGCCAGCGCTAGATGGTGATGGATACACAGCAACTGAGTTTTGGAAAGAGGGCATGGTGCCAGGGTGCCCTGAGGAGGTTTTAGAGAGATGAACATATTTTTAGGGCCATGTTGCCATGACAGCCAGTCATCTGGATCAAGAACCCAAGATCAGGGTACTTTATGAAGCCTGGGTACCCAACTAGGAAGGATAACCCCACATCCTTCCAGCAAGAGGAGGGAACCTGCCCCTCTATCCTAGCTTCCTGCCTGCTGCTGGACCACCTCCTTCCCCCACTGTCCTGAGTTTGCATCTCAGCTCTGACATTTACTAGCTCTTGCCCTTGGTCAAGCCCAGTTACCTGATGGAGCCTCTGTTTCCTCATCTGTAAAACGGGAGTAATGGTAATAGAATCTTGGAGGTTGTTGGAAGGAGTAAACGATTAGCTTGAATGTAATCCTTATAAGGTGCTTAGAGCATAGCAAGCGTCTGAATCATCATTGGCATCATCTTCTTGAATGTCCGAGATGGAAAGGGGTTTACAATCCACGTGATTGATTGATTGATTGATTTAGCCACACCGTGCAGCATGCAGGATCTTAGTTCCCTGACCAGGGATCGAACTTGTGCCCCCTGCATTGAGAGCTCGGAGTCTTAACCACTGGACCACCAGGAAGTCCCAGAATCCATGTGCTTTATGCTACATTTATTCTTCCTGCTTTCGATGAATATTGACTGAGGGGCTCCCATATGCCAGGCTTTGTCTAGAAGCTGGGGAGACAGGTTGGGGAAGAGAAAAGAGGCCCCTGACCCAGTTGTTCACAGGCTGGAGGAGCAAACAGTAATGAGCTCGTTCATCTGCCTTCAACGTCACATCAATTTCCCCGGCTGCCTGGTCCAGTGCCCGTCTCATCAGGACATTTGTCAGGGGTGGGGAGGTGGGGTTAGGCTTCCTCAAGGCAGGGACAGCCAGCTTGAGACCTGAGGGGGTTCGCTGAGTTGGGGTGCTGAGAGGAGAGGTGCAACCTAGAAACCAGGCGATCATTCTGGTCCCCTTCTTTAGCGCCGCCGCTGAGATCTGCCAGTTCTGTCTTCCAGACATCTCTGGAACCCGAGTATGTCCCCAGCCCCACCTGGGTTGACCGGCTTCCCCCGGAGAATTTTAACAGCCTCCAAACCAGTCTCCCTGCCTGTCCTCTTCTGCACAATAGCCAGAGGATCTCTGCAGAAAGCAAAGCTGGCACGTCCTTCCACCGCTGAACGCCTTCCATATCTCTCCACCTCTGCAAGATAAAGTCCTGACTCCTTCTAGCCCACAAAGCCCCGCAGCATCAGCCCCTGCAGACCCCCGCAACCTCCTCTCACCCGCCCCACATCCTGTCCACTCTGCACTTCATGCAGGGCCCCTTGACAAAGGTCCTTCCTGCCAGACCTTTGCACCTGCGGGGCCCTGTGATTAGCACAATCTCCTATGAACCCTCAGCCGTGCTTCAGTCCTCAGTGTAAACACCCCCGGCCCTCCCTCCTTGGACCAGGTTGATCACCCTTTTCCCAACTCCATTGTTGGAGGGTCCAGATTACCCCAACTGGATGCAGGACCCTAGACTTCCTGTTACCTGCTGACTCCCAACGCCCAGCACAGGGCGCTCAGGAAATGCATGTTGCTAGAATGTTCTTAAACACATGCCCCATTCAGACCTCTTCCTTTGATCTCCATTTCTCCACCCAGAAAGGGACATTATAAAACATCCAGCAGGGCTACCCCATAGTGAGTCATACAAAGCCTGTGATACGTGCACAATAAACACTATATAACATTATTCCGTTGTTTCCAGGCCAGTAACAGCTGGCTCCATGGAAGCAGGCGAATTCATTTTGTCAGTTCCAGCACTTTGTACATGGCAGGTACTATTTATTAGACATATAAATGAATGAATTAATGAGCTATGAATAAACACATGGTTGGTCATGGACAAAATACTTCATATCTGTATGTCATCTTTTCCTTATCTGTAAGATGGGGATGATAATAGACCTCTCACAAGGTTATTAAAGGTTTAAGTGTGTAAATATAGAGTGCTTAGAGCAATGCCTAAATAGTATGTAATTATATAGATATACTATAAAGGTAATTA